CCTTTGTCAGATCACTTTAGGAATGACTGGTTTTAATCCTAACCAAGAGGCATTCAGTGATGAAACTGACTTCAAATACTTTTTGTAAAAACCGGAAACACAGAATAAAAGATTTTTATATTTTCTAACTTTCCTTAATAGTGTTCTTAATCTTACCTTTAATCTAATTCTATAAAGTGAAAACTCTTTAAATCTATTGTCTAATACACTGAGCAATCATTGCCCACTCCCCCTTAAATATAACAAAGTGAGGTTAAGATTTTACTCTGTTCAAAACAACTGAAGATGATTCCTGCAATGCCAATTAAAACCATGTCAACTAGCCAACATTTACAACAAAAACATGCTTTTTATATCCAACATGACTTTATCCTAACTCTGGAATTCACGGTTCAGTACTCTGTGTACTTTTTGGCATTTTCCAGAAATTCAATCTTCAGAAAACAGTTTCATACTTAACACATCAGCAATTTTTGTCTTTTGTGACACTGAGAGCATACTTTTGAGAAAAGAATAATGAAGCTACAAAAGACTCTCTAATTTCAAATTTCTTCTCCAAATAACCCAACACAAAATCTGTAACAAAGTACTTATTAGCATTATGCAAAGCACTTAAGACTAGCAGTGAAAGAGTCAACTGATAGTTTTTCCAAAGAACTGACTACATTTATAACTCAGTGGTAACTTATATTTTCTTCACTATTTTCAGAAATCCAAAACCCAACAAAGGACAACTTTAAAGACTTTTTCAATTATAACAGGAACACAAATGAACTGGATATATGTCCAATTTTTAAGTGATCTAACCAAATGTATACTTTATTATCAGAGTTCTTACAAATTAGTGTCAAGGGATATTTAAATTATAAAAGCCAATTCCATAAATCATTTTAGTTCAAACTATTCTGGAAGCAGAAAGAATATCAATAATAAAGAGATGGACATTTAAAATTTTCTTTTCCTACAACTGAACTTATTTTTAATTTATACTGAGTTTTAAAAACATATAATTGAGTAAAATGAAATAAAGAGGAAGGTACCTACTCATAAACATGAAGAATTAAATTTAAATTACCTTTATGTAATAATATTTCTGCCATATTTTAAAAAACCTAGCAAACAAAGGTAAAGGCAGATGTTATTTTTACCAGTGTTCTAGTATTGTAACTACTCAGGGAGCGAACTTGATAGATTAGTATTATAATATATAAAAATGAAGAAATAAGTTTATTTCAGAAGAAAATAAAGATCTCTATATCAATCTCATTCTATGCATCTCTAAGTGATCTTTAGGACTTCTTTAACAAAGAGATAAAGACTGATTCATTTTTTTATGTTCCTAATGTGACCTCAATTAAAATCACCAGATAACCATCAAACCAAACTTCCAGAAGCACTTATGTATTGTATACATATTAATTTAAATTTTTGTAATTTAAAATCTACACCATTTCCAGGTAAAATTATTTTAAGAGTAAAATGTTCTTTGTCAAGAAATGTTCAACCTTTTAATGCCTAAAGACCTAAATCCAGAAAGTTCTTATCCAATTAAGTTCAGTTGCCAAACAGCTTTTGTGTGAAACAGCAAAATTATCTGTAACACTAATAATACCTGGACTAAAACTGTATTATATAGATTATCTTACCCTACTTGTCAGTGCTATTATAACCTAAGAAATCTTTTCACAAAATTCATATCCAATAATCATAAAATCATTGAAAATCTCCATAAAATAATAATCTAAACTACGGTTCCAAAGAATATTCACTTTTCCCAAACGCTATGTTCCCATACTCATAGATTTCCAAGAGAAAGCTGGGAACTCGTTATTTACACAGCTCGCTCCCAGATTTCCCATTTCTTTCAGCAGGACATCTAAACACATAAACTGAGCTTAAAAAGAGCCCATAACCAACCAAAAGTCTTTTGCATTGATATACCTAAACTGGCAGAGGCTAAATTTTATAGTCCATACACTTGAGAATTAGCCAAATAAGTGACCAGGTAAATTTGGGGCACAATACCTAACTTTGGGAAAACTAAAAAGCTGGGAAAAGCTGTGTAGCTCCACTGTTGAAATAAAGCATCCCAACTAATATACTACTGAAATAAAAAGCCAGTGATTAGTTTGCAGTCCCTCTAGTGTCCAACCAGTTAAATTAACAATCTCGAAATGGCAAAGGCTGATATTTCATAACTACTAAATCTGTCCTACATACCAAATGAAAATGAATTTAAAATGAATTTGTTAATAAAATGAACAAAACAAGGTGTTTTGTGTTTATTAAACCAGCAGAATCTTAAACCCTGTAAATCATTCAAGTTGAGATTCAGAAAGAATAAATTCAAAACTACTTTCAACTGCAAGATTGATCATCAAGCACCCAGCATGATGCCTAGCACATAACAAGTGAACTATAAATATTTGATTATTGTCTGGTTCCCAGTTTCAACATATAACTATTTCAAGCTATCATTTATTCTCAGTTTATTGCTACTATAAAATTAGGCACAATAAGCATAAATAAAAACTATTCTGCAAATAAGAAAAACAAATGTAGAAAGGGAAATGGACTTATTATGGCATGCAACTTGAATGGGAGTAGTAATCCTTGTTAATCCAATATTCTTGCTAAGTCTGTGTATGTAATAGTGAATAAAAAATCCAAAACACAACAGTCCATTGATAATTAACATATACCATACACTCACTAAAATTTTCAAGGATTAGGCCACAATCCTATTTAAAACAACATGGAACATAATTTTAATTTTTTATTCTAAAATCCCTTTAGGAGCAAAGGCAGAGATATTATCAACCATCCCCGAATAGCCAAAGCCAGAAAATGATCAGTTACAAGATACTTTTTAAAAATCAAATGCCTATATATAATTTAATTACTATTGACAATGCCAAGTGAAAAAGAATTCAACTTTTCTCCACAGGTAGAAATTATGACCAAAACTTAATTGTAAAATAAATTCATGAAGATCTAAATAGTATGATAGTGAGGTTCATTAAAGAAAAAGTATGACTATGAAATGCATTTACACAGCATTTAAATCTATGAGCTTTTCATATTCACTTCATGTTGTATCATAAAATAAAGCTCTAATTCCCATATTAGCGATAAGAATAAAAGACGAGCAAATTTAAATGGCCTGTCTATGATGACACAAAACAGGAGGAGGCATGGTATGAACATTCATTTTTAGTTAACTTACCATACTTGTATTATGGTCTCTACCTCTCAAAGGTAAAATATAACGGAAGAGTGGTAAATTTCTTCCTGGCCTCTGTTCCATTTTGGATACATGATTGAGGGTGAAAAGGAGGGAGTAATCCACAATCCATAACCTATACTTCCAATGAATGCCAGCTAAAGTCACAAATGGAAAAAGAGAATGATAGATGATTCCTGGCCAAGAAAGTGTGATTCACTAATGATGGAAAGACTCTTCAAGCATCCTCTGGGAGATGCGGCTGCATTCCATGTGTTGCCAAATGGAAATTTCAACCAATACAGGAAATTCAAGCTACTGCAGGTATATGTGTGTGTTTGCAAGTATCTTTGGACGAGATAGATCGATTTTGTTAGTTTTTGAAAAATGCCATTTAAAATTACAGAACTTGTAAAGTACTAACTTGCTATCTTAATATTTGATAGAACCAAAAGGCTATCTTTGTAACAATAGAAAAGATGTATACTAACACTAAAAAGTGTCTATTTAAAGGATTTCATTGAAAACTTTTGCTTAAATTATATACTATATCTCCTTTTACCATGTAGTCTATAATCATTATATCTTAAAAAGTTAGCAATTAATTCAGGATTTCAGGGTAAGAGAAAGAAAGCTCAATGAAAGCTTTCAGTCAACTGGATTCTATAGCGAAAACATGCAATTTCCAGAGAGAGCCCCAGCAAAGCAATGTTAGCTAATCTTTCCTGTGTAGCAAATATCAACTCTAGTGTTGAGCTGGCAATTTATAACATATTTAGGACACCCCAGGTCATTCAATCCATGATGTATTTATAATTTAACAAGGCTTCTGACGCATAAATACCATTAAGCACTTTTACCCAATAAACAGTACTCTCCCACAGCCTCTGTTCTACAAGACAATTAGAACACAAGCTTTTTGCCAAATGCCCAAACGACTTGTTATCTACAACACTAATGGAAATAATTTATGGAAAATTAGTCAATAAATTTTAATAAAAACTTTTAAAACTAAACTGCAGACTATAAAAATAATCAACTGCAAAAAAAAAGGAAGAAAACTATAACACTGTCTTTTCAATATACAGTTAAAAAGAAATCAATGCAACAATAAAAAAAATCTTTCAAATGCAGTCATAAGTGTTCTTTAAACAACAGCACGTTTTCCCCTGTGATCCAAAATACTGGGAGGACTTCAGAGTATTCAATGGTGACACACTAATAGTGTTTACACAAACTCCTATTACACTCATTTATTTACTCACTAATTTATTCACAACAAATATATGCCAGGAATTATGCTGGTCCTGGAATTACAATAATAAGCAACAGTCAGGTGCAGGTCCTATCTGCCATGCAGCCTACAGAGAGTCTTCCCTCTAATCCTATTCAAAAACTCTCAAAAAACCCAACTACCTATGAAATCCAAACTCCTGGGCCTAGGGTTTAAGCTCCATCACCATCAAGCATAAATATGCATTTTCAATCAACTTCTCATCTTTGACTCTTCCTAAATAGATATCCAAAACTTTCCTACTCTACATCCTTACACATGCCATTCCATATACATGAAGTGTGCTTGCCCTAACATAGCCATATGTCCAAACACCAAAATTCAACTCATTCTTTAAGGCTCAGCTCAAGATTAACTCTTCATCGAGGCTCTGCCTCCTTCTGTATAACTGAAAAAATACTGTGTGGTCCCTCTTAGGACATCTGTAATAATACCCTATGTACAAATGCTATCCCCCCTATTTGTCAGCTTCTAAAAAACAAGAGTATGTTTCTGATTCATTTCTGAATCTGTTGAATAAATACATGGTGGTAACTGTAAATATTAAAGATTAATTAGTGTAACACTTTATGTTTATAAAGCTCAAAGAATGATTTGAAAACATTTTCTCATATATTATTTTATCACTGTTAGACAATACTATACATTTTAATGTGTGGGCAACTGAGCTGAATGAGTAGTGACCTCAGGACATCCCATGAAAATGTTTTTGCCCCCTGAGGATCTTCTAGCTCATTTCCTCAACCATACTGGGAATCAAACTGCTATCTATGCATATTTGGACTAATCACTGATGATACTATGGTTAGGTCATTTAACCTTTTTTTATAAAATGGTTATGTGCTTACTGAGGATGGGTTGGGGGCCAGGGGGATATACATTCAAATGTGTTTGAGGGCTTTGGCTAACTGAGTTCTGGTTAATGAAGCCTTTGCTTTAGCAATGGGGATAATTGTCCCAGCCATGTCTGCTATTCAAATCAAGAGCCCCTCTTTGTTACACTCTTCATGAAACCAGTAAATGGCATGATAAATTTTTCCATAACAGAGTCACTGTCAACAAATGCTATTTCCTCCTTAAACAATCAGAGTTGTATATAGTTTTTTTCCAAGGATGTCAAGGCAGACATCCTTTCCATTATTAATATCTACTAGGTGACTTTTAAAATAAGTTAAAAATATAGTGCCTGAAACCAACCCGAGAATAGCTACATTTTTCTAATTTAGACTAAATATATTTCAATGTAAATAACATGCCCTCTTAAAAAAGCAAACATTAAAATCACTTATGTTTAATAAGTCCAAGATTACCTGTGAAAAAACAATCTTAATGAAGAAACCTCATCTTGACAAGGTTTTTCACACTTCCTGATTCAGGGAGTCATTCCACAGATACTTGCATATCTCCTAATGGTGTCAGAGAGTAAGCCTTCAAGAAGATTAGCAAGAAGTCTTATCTCCTCCAGGAGTAGCAAAGCCATAAATAAACGTATTTTTTTAATGGAAGATATGTTACTTGTGATATTATATTAAATATGCGGACGAAGTTTCCAATAACAGATTTGTGAATGCTCTAACCTTCACTTTACCATTCTATACATGCAATCTTTTTCAACACAAAGATACTTTGTCTTCATCCAATTTTTATCTTATTCTTAATTTTTTTTTTTATCAAGGCAGTTCTGCTGCATGATTAACTACAAACTGCAGGGTATTATTCTGCCACAATACCCTGGCAACCAGCTCATATTCAGTTACACTATCACAGCACCCAAAAAAAAAAAAAAAAGAACTAATTGTATGATCATGTGGATATTGTAGAAGCCCTTTAGTTCAATCCTAGATGGGTCTCAAGAGGATAATGCTTATTCTGTTGAACTCACTGCCAAATCACAATATGAAAGAGCCAGTATCAAAACAAGACCGAATTATACAAAGAGTGCATTTTATCAATGTCGGGTTTATAAGAAATAGGTATGTGGCCCAGTACTTGTAGAAAATTGTTCAAAAATATTTACACAGATGGAGCTTTAAAAGAAATTATCGAACACTTCCTAGCTATAATGATATTCAATGAGCATCTATTCAGGTAGTATCAGGACAGCATCAGACACAAAATATTTAGAGCAACAGAGTCTAATTTCATAATTCTCTAGTACTTAAAAAAGACTGCGAAACTGTGGGGAACTTTTGGGATGCAGAAGCAGTAGCGTATGTATGTATTATTTCTACCATTACAATATTCTTTTAAAAGAAAAAAATCTTAGTTCCCAGTGATACCGATGGCTGAGTAGATCTATACCAAGTTCTAGCTGCCATTTGCTCAAACACTGTAAAACAAAACAAAATAGAAACCATCTGTAAATACTTTTTCAAACAATTATTCATGAATGTTAAACACAGACACCTATAAACTGGTTTAGTCTACCACACTTTAAACAGGTCCAGAATAACTAAATGATAGCCTCAGCAACCACCTCCTGCTTCCCCCACCAGTTAACCTGTTCTTTTACTGTGGTTTTTCAAAATACATACCTATGATAATAGATCTATAAGAAGAGAAGGGAGAAAAACACCTCTTAATGACAACAGAGAAATAATTGTCTCAGTTACTTCAATAAGGTATTTTGTAACAACAAATGCTAATCTCATATAAACTAAATTCAAATGGTTTATATTCATGTCAAGTTTTTACGACTCCAAAACTATTTTTATTTTATTTTTATTTTCCCTTTATCTTTAGTGTGTGCTCAGTTAAGAGGATCTAGACTAAATGTTTATGAGCCGACATTATTGGAACCAACATTTGCCAAGTGTCACAGAAAACATTTAAAATCAAAAAAGATAGGTCCTCTGTCCAGTATTGTTCAAGCCAGCATTCTTTCTGTAAGTACAGGAAATAGATTTGATTTGATATAAATAGAATTGGAATAGTTATGTGGGTTTTATTTAAAACGGTTTGGGAAACTTGACTGACTCATTTTACATGGCACAATCACATAGTTTCATGTTATATATAGCTTTGCAACCAAATAATGGTTTTGATTTTATTTTTTTTAAAGATTTATTTATTTGAGAGAACGAGAATGAGAGAGAGAGAGAGAGAGAGAGAGAGTACATGAGAGGGGGGAGGGTTAGACGGAGAAGGAGGCTCCTCACTGAGTGGGAAGCCTGATGCAGGACTCGATCCCGGGACTCCAGGATCATGACCTGAGCCAAAGGCAGTCGCCTAACCAACTGAGCCACCCAGGCGCCCCTGGTTTTGATTTTAAAAGGTACAAATTATGGGTCTGGGTTCCACCATAACTAGTGACATGATGAAGTCACGGGCTTTTTCTAAGCTTCAGTTCCCGTCTGTCCATGCTAATTTCACAGCATAAATGGAAGAGGACATTCTCTGAATCCTCCCAATGATGACATCGGAGATCCATTCTCACCTTCCTCCTTCCTTAAGAAAAGCCCAATTTCACTGGAGGGACTTTTTACTTCATCTCCTGTATAAAATACTATAAACAGTAGAACTGACATGATGCCATCTAAATGTATCAGCAATGAATTTGCTTGTAAATTCATGTCAGTAATGTATTTGCTTGTAAATTCTGCAGCAAAAGGTGTTGTTCTCTGAATATTTAATTTTATATCTCTACCTCATTCAATTTTAATGTTCAAATATGTAATTTTTCCTGGAATTAATTAGGCCATTAAATTCTACTCATAAACTTTTTCTCCAATTTGCCACATTCATATTCTTATGTTAACCTCCCTAAAAAAAGAGATAAAACAAAGAAACTGTATTATGGGGCAAAGAAATCTTTATACCACTTTAAGTATAAAAACCTCTTCTAAATCTTTAAATTTTCTATTAAAGAACAAGATTTTGAAATACAACGTACACAAAGGGAGCGAGTATCAAATAAGCTATCCCTAAAATTACTAGCCTAAATACTTTTCTATCAGTCACAATATATCCATCACTAAAATTCCTTACATATAAAGGGAGGAAAAACTGTAACACCACCAAATACTGGTTTCTCTAACTTCAGGTTAATTCTCAATCCTACCTGTTCCAGTGGTGACTTTAATCCCTCATTAATGGGGGCTTTACTCAGGTTTACGTTATGCAAATAGGGGACTTCGTATCAATGTAAAAATACTGGACTGTAATGCCTTTACTTACCAAAACATAAATCCCCCCTAAAAACCAAATGATTAAACTTTTCCCTGAAGCAGCAATCTTTAAATTATAATTTTTTACCAACTGTTTAATTTTCATATCATTAGAACATAAGCCCTTTACATGCTATTTCACCACAATCTCAGTATAAATGTCTCATTTTTCACAGAAAAAGCTAATTACACGGTTCAGTAAGTTGCCTGTGGTAACACATCGATTTTATTTACATTCCACAGTTAGACTTTAGCTTGTTCTCTCAATTGCAAGCACGTCTAGCTTAATAATTCTATCTAATCCATTAGATCTTTTTCTATTCTTCATATGAAAGAATTCTAAATCGTACCATAACTTTATAATATAAATGTGTTGCTTACAAAAGTATTAATAAGTATTCCATTTTCTCTTTTAAGAATATAACTTACAATTTTCTATTAAATCTATTATTTCAGTTAAATATGCACTGGAATCATTTGGATAATCATCAATGAAAACTATTACTATTTTATACTTTAGCAAACGAATTATTTTAAAACTACACGAGAAAAGAGAACACAGTGTAACTATTTTAAAAGTCGGACATTTTGTATCAAAACTTGAATAATTTAGATCCAGTGAAAACTAGGAATACTTAGCTCATAAACTATTTAGAAATAGCTACCATTTTCCACTGAGTAAATGTTTTCCCTAAAAGTACTTGTTCTCATGAAATACAAATGTATTCTTCTATTATATACATAACAACAACAAATATGGAAGTTAAAGTAAAACTTTTCAGCAATGCGGTGTTAATCTCAAGAATTAATGCCATGTAATAAAATCTCCATATAAATGTTGATAGGTAAAGTACTACAAATCCAGAATGCTGCAGAAAGATTCACCTGTTTTTAAAATCACCAGAATCTTACACTTGAAAAATAAACCCAAACAATAAATAAAAAAATATATATTTTCCAATTTAATCAGAGATTAACTTCAGTGAATCATAAACTGACCACCAATAATGAAAAAAAAAATATAAAAACCAGGTGAAAAAAGTCAGGGATGAGATAATCTCTTTAGAAGAAATTTGAAACTGAATGACATTTTACCTAGAAATAGGTTCATTCCTGTCAATTTTATATGTAAAAGGATCACTACTTTCACAAAAAGCCATTTTTTTTCATTTCAATTGAGAATAAAGCCATTCACAATGTTGACTGAAATTATTTCATTTTGTCAAAGATAACCATAAATCAAAATCCAACTGAAAATTCACAGACTGTAAGATATAGGTGTAGTATATTCCTATATACTTAATGATTTTAGAAAATTCAATGTCAACACCTTTCAGTGTGCTCAGCAGTAGGCTATTAATTTTCAGAGTTTGACTTTACCATCATAATCTGCCTTGGTTAGCTATCCCAGGCTTTTCTTCCTTCTCCTCTCCTCTGTTCCCCTACCTTTCCTATTACTCAAGAATGTTGTCTTCGTTTGATCTCTGTTGTTTTTAAATAGCTCAAAGTTAGGTTATTCCTCAAGCCAGAGTTAAAAGTGGGCTAGGGAAAAGAATATTCAGGGTCTCAAAATCTCGCCCCAAATTTACCTAACGATTACAAAAAGAAAAGGGTATCTTTACACAGGAAAATTCTGGCGGACACTACCTTAACCAAGTAATCAAACATTAAATTAGTAAGATCAATATTGGAACAAACTGACATGATGTGCCTCTGACGGGATGCCACAGAAGTACTCATCACTTACTGATATTCTTGTCAAAAACGTCTAACCTGAGTGTAATCATGAGGAAACAAATTCAGAATATGGAAAATTTGACAGAGCAAAAATTACATCAGCATCACTGAAAATGTCCTACATTCTCATAGAAGTTACGTGATGAAGTATTTAGTGGTAAAGGTTCATGAAGTCTAGAAATTACATTCAAATGGTTTAGCCAGAAAAATAGTTACGTATG